AGAAAAGAAAAACAAATTAAAATAAAATTATATAAATGTTATGTCAAAAACGTGATAAAAATTAGGTGAAGATATGTCGAAAGCAGAGTAAATGTCATAAGTATAAAAACGGAAAACCTATAATATATATTTTATAATCTTTAAACATTTTTTCATGATATAGGTGTATCATGAAATAATGTTTAAAGTTAAATGTTATTTATGTATGTGCTTATTGTTTTAGGTAAGTATTGTACGATAAGTTTTATTATGGATTAGCAGTTCTTTTAGTTTATTTATAAATGATGACGTATTTTGTTTCGATTCGTTAAAGTCTTAAAAATAATATGAAGTATGTACATGAATTAAATTATGTATATCTAGTATTTTAACCGACTTCAAAAAAGGAGGAGGTTCTGAATTCGACTGTATTTTTTTGAATGTATGTTACTCGATAATTGGTGAACCGATTTTAAGGATTCTTTTTTGTTGTTGAAAAGAGGTTACCTCAGTAATTGTCCCATTTAAATTTTAAGATAATATTCCTCCACTAAGGGTGGCAAATGAGGGATGAATCCGGTTTCGCGCACTTTCCGGTAACCGATTTCAATAAAACTTCGCAAATAGATGTAATTCCACGAACTTATGAAGTCGGTTCTTTTAGTACTTTGTATCGAGTTTATGCATAACTCTTCATTCAAGCATAAAAAGGTTGTCTGGTAACTTTGTTCGTAGAATGTTTAAATCTGTCTTCTGGAAAGTTGTCATTTTGCAGATGGGCCTTATTACATTACGGGTACAATAAAAAAATGTTATAAAACTATAAGATAAAAATAAATAACTTCAAGTTAAAAACAAAAAAGTCTTATTTCGTACAATATTTTTTATATATGCTTTATTACCAAGGGTAAGGATTCAAGAAATGTTTTTATGTAATAAGAATCGGATTTCTAGAAGTATTTTTATGTCTCTGGTTCCTAGTATTATTTCCGTCGCCAAGCCTTACGATTGTACCAAACTAGTCAACACGGAATTGATTGAATCCGGTCATAAAAAAACTTTATGTATATGGTAATAAGGACGTATAAAATGGTTTCGTCGTCGGCCAGTCACGAGCTGCGACGTCCGTGACTGAACGTTACGAAGGACGTCTTTACATCTTTTTACAAGGACGTCCTTGAGCACAGAAAGCTTATTCCATGTCGGCTAGTTTAGTGGAATCCTTATTAGTAAGGATTCTTCGTCATTTATAATTATCGAGACATGTTTATTTACTCTAAGAAATAGATAGAAATACGCTTTACGAATTTTACGATCGTAATAAAAATCGCAATAATAATTTTATGAAGGATTTTATTATAATAAGGTAGTTAAGACACGCTCTTTAATTAGGCTCGACGTATTAATTGATTGCGTAAATGTCACCTTATAATATTGCAATATTAACGAGAGGGGAAGGGTATTGTTCACATGACAAGCGTTCTACGAGCGTTTGGTTTTTGAATAGTGTTCACAAGGTGGGTATTTTTCGGGCGTTGAGCGCGCGTTGCCACTGTTTCAGTGCAAGTTCGCCATATATATTATATATTCGGTATATACTTACTCAATGCTTTCTTCTTTTCGTTACTGTCATCTCTGTCACTGAATATAATAACAAGTTCATCCCAAGCCTTTCTCCTTATAATCTTATTCCGATAATCCTTACTTGTAACATTCCATAATGCAGGACCTTTCTCAATTTCGTCTATGAATAGATCCGTATTAAAGTCTTCTGTACCCATTTGTAGAAAAAAAATTTAATTGCAAAACACGTCTCACCGCACGGTGATTCGTCTAGAACAAGCTAGCTGGACAAAAGTAACATTAATATTTTGTAGGAAAGTTAATTTGGGTAAGTACGATATTTGTTGTTAATCACATCGATAGATATGATTTTTGCACTAATGACATTGATCATTAGTACTAAGGATATGTATACAAGACAACTACATAGATTAAACGCATGGAATTAGTTGCATTTTCGCTCTTGATATCGTAACGTTTCCCGAGTTGATTTTAAAAGTTGTGTTTATTTAAAGTAATAGATTAAATAACCAAGGGTAAGCGTTATTTTTTGATACTATTGTATTCAAAAAGCAACGAGGCATTTAATAGGAAAAGTCCCGCAAATTTGTTAAATTAACTTTTTTTTACATTTTTCAAATTCAAAAGACGAAAAGTAAAAATCCCCTCTTCTCCCTGAATCGATACTTTTTCCTGTGATAAGGACATTTCTCTATTTTATTATTCAAGTAGTATTTCTTGCACGAATTTTCCCTAATAGCTTTCTCTTTTTTTTGTAGAAAGCAGTTTCACTGTCTCAAAGAGGGACTTTTTTGAAGATTGGGTGAAACACTCAAAAAACGGCCGAAACGAAGCTATGTATCAGTTTATAAGCTTATAACATGATCTGAGTGGCATAACAGAACAGTCTGTGAGGAAAATGAAGGAAACAATTTCTCGTTTTTCTTCAAAATTATTGGAAAAATGGGAGAGTTCAAGAAGAATGCGAGACCGCTTTCTAGTTACTAATGCAGAGTGGCTAAAGGGTGCAGACATATCTTTTGATGTGTCGCAGGACATAGTGGAAGCATCTACTTCTTCCCAATTGCCATCTGGTCTAGGAAAAGCAATGGTAGACTTGGCAAATGCAAGTGTCAAAACAAAAAGATTTGGTCAAGACCAGAAGTTGTGAAGAAAAGCGTTGACAAAATTTACGAACAAAATTCGGTCAGTTGTAAGCGCGCGTTGAACTCTCGTCATGTGAACATGCTCTAAGGGCCATAGTTGGCATAATGCGGGTTGAGGATTTCTCACTTTTCCATGAGTTATGAATCTTCTTCATCGTTAGTGAGAAATATTGTTACTAAATATTGGTATGTATTTAAATGATCTTTTTAAATTTCCAAAAGCAGCAGGCAACAAAATATCTAAACGGTAAATTTTTTTAGTGATTGATCCTTTTTCTCTGGGATAAAGTAAATTAAATTAATCGACATTTTAAACTGTTCTGAGCTACGCAAAAAATGTTTGATTTCCATAAATTACTTTGAAAGTTTTATGTTGGGCCTCAAAACTAAGACAAATAAGCAGTAAAAATAAAATTTAGATACTTGTTTTTAAAACTAAATAAATGTTGGTTTGTATACTTGTATACTAATATTATGTTAATTATAATATAAATGTTCGGAAAAGCAAGCAAATTGACTTCTGCTTTTTGATACGTTCATTTCAACCGTTCTATATTCTATTCTAAACAAAATCTATGAAAGTATTTCGTCACCCAATTAGGTATCCGGGCGGATGGAAGGAATTTTTTCTAATTGTTCGATCTTTGTATTAATAATTGTATGTGTAAGGTTAAATCAACAAAAATGTGTATAGCAAACGAAGTAAATGCTAGAAGCCTGCGAACCCCAAACAATGTGATACTTGGCACAATCCCCAAGACGATTCTTTTCCAAACTAAATGATAGCTACATAGATAGATAAAACGTTTATCCTCTTGCATCACACACACACAACAATACAATACAGTAAATTGATTAAAAGAGACGCACAGAAATCAAATTAAATAAAATTAGATAAAACCAAATAGTAAATTAAAAACATAATAGTAACCTAATGGTAGGAAATGAAACTATTTTTCCGGATTTAAATCGCGTATATTTGACCATGACATTGACATGTCAACCGTGACCGTGGGACCTGTAAAGGGCCCGAAACGTCGGTTTGTTTGAAAAAACAAATATACGCGATTTAAATCCGGAAAAATAGTTTCATTTCCTATGATAACCTAATGATCAACATCTTACGTGTGTGCTAAAGCAAACCAAATAGGTCGTGGCTCAGTGTAAAATTTGCCCCAAGGCAAAGCACTGATTTTCAGCCACCACCTTCGAGCAGAAACATTGTGAAGTGAATTTAGTGTGCATATATGTTAGTATCACGTGAGTATATAGTATATAGATTATAAAAATATGAAAAAATTAGCATAATTATTAATTAAAATAAAATATATATAATTAGTACCTACTTAATAATAATAGTAAAGTCAATGCAATATAAAAATGATAATAAATGTCCATGAAATAAAGGGACTTCATTCTAGAAGCTTCCGTTATGTAAAGCGTTTAGGAATACCCATTTTTTGCCTATCCAAAATAAATTCCCTGAAATGTTTTTTAAAAGTAAACTTAGATAAATGTTATGTAATGTGTGGAAAAGTTTTTAACAAAATACCGGATCTATTTAAATCCGTTCCTTTGGCTAGATTTAAAAGGGAAATTGCACACTTGGCTTCTAGAACAGTTATTTTATTGACGATTTTTCAAATATAAAAGTGATTGATCCCAAATCGATGCATATATTAATCATTAAATAATGATATTATCTTGTTTTTAACCGACTTCAAAAAAGGAGATGGTTCTTAATTCAACTGTTATGTTTTTTTTTGTATGTCATGCATTTATGAACGGTTTTTGATGATTCTTTTTTTTGTTGGAAGGGGAAGTACGTCAGCAGTGGTTCCATTTAAATTTGAAGAAACTATTCCACTTGTAAAGGTGGCAAACTAGGGGATAAATTCGGTGTCGTGCACTTTCCGGTAATAGAATTCAACAAAACTTGGCAAATATATGTAATTCCACAAACTTTTGAGGTCAGTATTTTTATTGTTCAAACATTTCTTAATGTATTGTATATTTGCATGCTCTTTTTTAAGGCTAAAGAGGATAAGTTCTCCAAACTACCACCAACATTTATAATGTACCCATCATATTTAAAGCAAATAAATGATTCTATTCTTAGAGTTAATGTGGTAAGGCGGCTTTTTCGCTGAAAATGATATTTTCCAGACAACCTTTGACGCAGAGGAGAACTAAACAGATGTAGGATGGAGGTATAGAGGTTAAACAAAACTAAGCGAGTTATTTTCATGTGTATATTACCTACATTTTTCTATATTTTAGGTATATGTAATAGCGTGGTATTAAAAAAAACCCCTATTCAGTATGTAATGCTTATTATCTTTAAACGTTAGGTCACGAATTTTCCTATTTTCGCCTCGGTGCTGGAAATCTGTTTCAGTATCCAGTCTTTGAAGGCGAAGACCCTCGTATACACGTCAGGATATCCTCGAGCGCAGGGCATACCCCACGATACCACTCCCACTATTGTCTTGTTTTCCACTAGTGGGCCACCTGAGTCGCCCTGAAAGAAACGAGTTTACAGTTAACCATAAGTACTTAATTATCACGTTGGCCCCTTTTACCAGAGACTGACTACTTCTGAATCTTGTTCTTAAGCGATCAGAAGATAAATCAAGAGGAGTTTTTAGTAGATAGGTTAGAGTGATGCCACACGGGCGATGCCGGTGGTTGCGTCGCCATGCTATGGTTTCTACGCACCGAGCGCCACACGAGCAACGCGATGCGTACCGTCGCTTATTTACGCACCCCAGCACCCCTCCACGCTTTGTCTCCTGGCCCTTTGTCCGATACGCACGCGTTCCGTCGACGCCGCGCACCGTTTCAACGCACCATGTGGCATGTAGTTCTAATAATTTATATGTCTGGCAACGCCGACATAACGCATCGTGTGGCATCACTCTTAAGTAACAGTTCTTTAGTATTCACGAATTGTCTTTTTATGAAGAATTCTAAGGCCTCTTTGAATTATGATCTATGATCATGGACTTACCAAACTGAGAATCACAGAACTCGAAAAGACAAACAAAAAAAACAAGTTGAAAATTCCACTACAAGACGATAAAGTATCTTCCCAAAATATGAGCCAATAAAAGTAGTCTTTAATAGTTATCCTTGTCTGAGACTCAGTTCCAGTGATTGACCGCTAAATCGTTTGGCCACAAGCCAAGAGTCAGACCAAGTTCGGGATTCATCTGTTGATGAAATAAATTGTTCTCGTGTTCGCTCTGTTAGTGTTTGTAAATAAAATAAAAATGGGAAATTATAATTTTTACACAAAATAAAGAGTGCTATATAATTGAATTTCGTGACATTTTTCATATTACTTGTTTACTTTTATGTACAGTAGCTTGATCAAGAATGTCGTCGTTGTAAGCAAATTTCAGGGAAAGGAAGATTACCGTATAGTAATCATAGATTGCGTTTTGGTAACTATTTTTCTTTAAAAATGTAAATTACGCTGATTCGCGTAACAATAAAACTGAAACTAAACAATATATAAAAAGACACTTATAGGGGGTTGTAGATCTCGTTTTGCTGATTGAAGATATGTTAATAACTCAATTTCGCTAAAACGTCGATTAGGTTGTTTATGATAAGGACGACAGAGAAATATATTTGCTTTCGTGTACACAGATACTAAGTTTTATATTCGATGCTGGAAAGGTAACGAGCTAACGTCTAACGAGCATTTGGAAAATATTACGGGAGAGCGATATAAAGTAATTTTTTAAGAAAAAAATCATAACTCTAATTTTATTTGTTATATGAAAACCTAGAAAGTTTCAGCTTTTCCATATAACAAATAAAAAAGGAGTTATGTTTTTTTGTTCAAAAAAATTACTTTAAATAGCTGTCTCTTAATATTTTCCAAATGCACGTTAGACGTTTTACCTTTCAGCGTCCATTATTTTCTATGGTACCGTAATAATCAAATTTTATATTAGAACGACATTTCATCTTTGAGTACACCTTGTTGTGTGAATGTCCTTTCCTTACATCTGTGAGTACAGGCGTACCCTTGGAATAACAAAGCCACACGCGATCAAACATCAAAAGCGCTTCTATCAACAAATTATGTGTATGTGTAAATTTATCACTTTCCTTTTTAAGCATAAAACAGTTATCGACTGATTTCGTTTCGTAGAATATTTAAACCGCACTCCTAAAAAGTTGTCATTTTGCAGATGCGGTCTTATTACATCAAAGGTGCGAGCTTGAACCCGCTTTAGTGCAGAGGCAATAGGGTTGTACCAACAGAAATATTTTTTAGTTTCAATGGGAAAATGTAACTTACGTAACAAGCGCCCTGCCCGGTCCTGGTGAGCGTGCAGACCTGACTATCATAAACGGGGTTGATAGCCACATAAATACCCTGACATGTTTCCACACTGAGAGCAGTTAAGTTGATCATTTGTAGATGGGTGGGTGTATTTCCAGGGTCCTGGGGGATAAAAAAAAGGAATCAACACATAGTTTCGTACGTACGTCTCACAGAGCAGTGATTCTCTTTAAGAAGAAGTTAGTTACGTTTTACCTAGGTGGCAGCAAGTTGAAAACGTCATATTGTATTTTCAACTGCATGAGTTGAAACATTAGTGATTTCTCAAAATTACCGGATCGAATCCCTAACGAAGTCATACGTCAGAGAATGAACAAAGCCCGCACTAGGAAAACCCTGAATCGCGGGTGCCATGGACACACACATAGACAACCACAAATTACAACCAAACTCATGAGAGAAATAAACGTAGGCCATAACAAATATTTCTCCCTGCCCGGGAATCGAACCCGGGACCTCTGCGTAGCAGTCCAGCAGGATAACCGTTCCGCCATGGAGGCAGTTTAAAAAGGCAGGCAGTTTAAACTGACCGAAATAGCTCGCAAAATCAGTAAACTTAAGTGGCAGTGTGCCGGACATGTCTGCACGAAGGTTGATGGCCGATGGAGCAAACTTGTTCTAGAGTGGCGATCACATCACGTAAGATGGACGGGGCAGCGGCTGGATGCGAGCGGCACTGGACCGGGAAAATTTGCGTGCTCAGGGGGAGGCCTCACCTATTTCTGCCGCCAAGCACCACAAGGCGCACGAATTGTGCGTCCCGTCATTTGGTATTATAAAGAAAATATGTCACGGGGCAATAATTCAAAGTACGATGCATTTTTTTGCGCATATACCTACCTACCTACTGGCCGTATACTCAAATTCCATTTAAGTTTAAAACAATATTTTGAATTAACAAATATGTATTTCAATCATTTCAGTATTCCAAATTCCATTTTTTTTATAATGTCTCACGATGATTCTGCCAATGTAAGGGTTGAAAAATAAAACTTTTACGTTGGTGTGACTACGTACGGTCGGATAGCCGGATATCCGTTGGATACGACGAGAATCTAAAAAGGGACAACACAAAACCGCAAATTACACGTTCACATCATATGCATATGTTAAAAATAAAATAAAAGAGGTGAGTAGGTTTGTAAATATGTATATGTAATTCAGTCGTTTCAGTACCAATATATTTGCCGCGTGATATTTGGGATTCATTTTGACCTGAGCCATCTTTGACTTTCGAACTAAGGTAGTGGAACCAATGATGGACAGTGCACCAGTCATGAACATTTTTGAACTATACCGCCAAAAATAAGGAAATGTTAATTATTTTTATTCACTTTCAAATGTTTTTTATAACTTTTGATCGAAATGGAAGACGTCAGTTCAGAATTGACATCTGGCGGCCATCTTTATTCGCCATTATCGTGGTACGAAATGAGATGGTGACACGGATTTGTATATTAAATAGGACCGCGCACTAAGTTTATAAAACGAGCTGAGGGAGAGGCTTCAAAGAGTAATGCGTCTCTTTCATTCATGTTTCAGCCAGCCATATTGTTTTTAACTTTTTAATTTTACAGAAAATGTGGCCGCTTAGGGATGACCAAAACTACTAATATTATTTCATAATACTAATTAGTATACTTATTTGATATGCTACTTCATAATAGGTTTCATTGTTGATATTCTTTTTTGTATTTAATAAAAGCATATTTACCTTTAACCTAATTTATTTACCAAAATTTCAAAAAAATTCATAGACTAGACACTACCTAAGATGATTTTATTTAGCGTTGGCAACTTGTTAGACAAGGACAGACCACTACTTCGAGCTATCTCACGTGGCTTGGTTTTTACTTTTACTTAAAATAAACCTTAACATAACCCAATAAGGTGTAAGTTTGTAATATTGGTATATCGAAGTGCGCGATTCAGTTTATGAAATATATAAAGCCGAGAAATGTGATAATAAATTAAGAAAAAAAACTTAATTCTCATAAGGACCGTGTCTTGGGTGCGGTTTTTATAATCATATCTGAATGTGGTATTTGAGACTGTGATGACTTCAGTGGTTATTTTGTGTTTTGGTGTTATTTTAAGCATGTAAACAAAACGTAACCGTAAATGAATAACATAACGTCTATTGGAAAATTAGGAGTGTTTATTACTAGATCTCATTTAGCTGTTTACCCAATCATGGACATTTTTGTCCATAATCGGATTTTATCATTAAAAGGCTTTACTTGTGTTTACCGTCTTTATAAAGCCAGATTTTTAATCAATAATAATAATAACGCACACACTCAACATAGCACCGCACTGTGTCGCGGGTGCGATGGGCATACACATAGACAACTACAAATTAATATAACAACATACATGTATAATTAATAAATGTATATATATAATATAACTAATAAATGTAGGCTATACAAATATTTCTCCCGGTCCGGGAATCGGACCAGGGACCTCTGTGTGGCAGTCCGGCATGGTAACCGTTCGGCCACAGAGGCAGTTTTAATTTAGTTTATAGCTTGTTACATTATTTTAAGTCTATACAGTAATGGAAACAGTGTCCGTCACTGGTCATCCATAACTGGATTTGATTTTTTAGACATGGCACTGAACCGAATAACCACCAATGGGTCATATGAAACATCACACCATTCGTTTAGAAGTAAGTGTAAATACCATGCAAGATCTCTTTTTATAAGATTGAATTTGTTAATTTAGCTAAATAGTTGATCGTTCATGTTTAGGCGTCCATGATTGGATACCGTCCATGATGGGGTGTCCATGATTGGAAATTGGGCTGTCCGTATAAGGATACTCAAATACGGTCTACTTTTTCTCGAATAACAACGTTTTCTTTATTAATTGATCTGATTAAAGCACTTTCAATTATTATTTGGAGACTTTTTAATCAATTAAATATTTCCTTGAGTCCCACATGGTAACTCATCCAAAATTAAATGACTAAAACAAAAAATAAATCCTTAAACCGTCCATGATTGGTTTCACTACTTAATTACTGTGAAAAATGGATAAACGAGTTGATTGTAGTCGGTTGACGTTATTATTTCGCTGCTGCCTGAGCGATTGCATACTGAAGAGCAAATAGGTCAGTTGTCAAATGATTACTGATTAAATTGGTTACGAGGATGTTTCCCTTAATGTCTCCCTTTCGATCTTACTCACACGGCATAGTATGTTTTTTCATTATCCTCTCGACTTCCACAGTTCCTTGTTTGACGCAATGTTAGGCTAGTTTTTTATATATGCGTCCAAGTCATCCCGCCATGCTATCTCCTTCTTGTAGGTTTAGCACAACGGCACATAAACAGCGACATAAAACGCGAGATACTGCTATTCTTGCATAGAGGTCCCGCGCTTTGTCGCTCTCGTGCAAGTCGCGCCTTACCTTGCTAGTCCTATTGGTCTACCTAGTCGTCGTTGACCTTTCTCCGGCACCTACCAAGTGGCTGTATAACCCATCTCTGTGGGTGCATGCGATAGATGTGTTCCGCCCAGTCTCATTTCAGCTTGACTGTGCTTTTTCCAACAACGGTTACATAATGTGTGTGATATGTTATATATCTAAAATATAGACACAAGTATCTCATCAAAAAAGAACATTTAAGCAACTTACAGAAGTTCTTCCCCATCCACTGAGCATCAAATTGGCTCCCTCTTCAGTATTGACTTCAGGCAGTTGAATCGGCTGCACCTTATCGTTGAAACTGATCTCGCCAGAGACTTTCAACAGGCTAATGTCGTTCTTGATACGTTTTTCATCGTAATTGGAGTGGATAATGATGGTGTCCACAGAGTAGCGGTCACCGCCCACTGTGAGGTCATTGGTGCCGACAACTACACGAATGCTAAGGCGAGATTCTCTGGAAAACGCATTATATGCTCGAAGATGAAGTGAATTAGTTCGTTCCTTCTGGCTATGGATCAATCTGTATTTTAACTATCATAGCTCAAGATTGTGGAAAGTAACAAGGAAATTGATATGCAGTAACGTTTCTTCTTCGACTTATTTCTGTCATGGACCCATGGACCATATCAGTAGCAGTAGAGCTCATTGAGAAAGAGTTCATCCAGGGAAGTACTGCCATCTTACCTATTTCTGCCGTCACATAATAATGTCAGCATTACTGTGTTCCGGTTTTGAAGGGTAAGGTGCTGGTGAAACTACAGGCACATGGAACTTGTCAACTTATGTCTTAAGGTGACGGGCGCAGTGGCAGGGCCCTCAAATCATTGCGATTTAAAGCTCTGAGTGGTACTGAAACTGTTATAGACAGGCGTGTAGCTTACCATCAGGCGGACGTCTTGTTCGTCCGTGACTTAATATAATAATAATAAAAAAATATGAGATCTAAACCAAGACTGACTTATGGCAAAGATATTTACGACGTGGGCAATCGAACACTTCCGTGAATTGTGTCACTTTGCGACTTGTTGCAGTGCCACTCAGTGCTTTGAGTGGCACTGCAACTGTTATGGACAGGCGTGTAGCTTTCCATCAGGTACAAGACAAGTGACGGGCACTTGATATTATTAAAAAAACCCCTTATCATAAAAGAAACTTAATCTTGAACCTCCAGGTAAATTGACTTTCATGATATAATGAATCCAATTTCAAATACTGAATCTAAGCATGATCGATTTCGTACGCGACGTGTGGTCACACGGGGAACATCGCCTTTAAATTTTTTTTAATGAAAACTTTCGATTCTCGGTAATTCTTCGCGCATCCTCAAAATATTTTTACTTAACACAGACCCCTTGGATCATCCCAGAGAGATCCCCCAGGGACCACTTTGAGAAACTTGGCTATCATCCCATAGAGACCCCCAGGGACCACTTTGAAAAACTTGGCTATAGATATCGATGCAGTTTTTTTTGTCGCGTCACCTTGCTTAATCACAGGTATGGATTCGCTTCGAAAGGGAATAAAGAAGAAGCGGAGGCTTTAAAAAATCCTCCTTATTTAACAGCTGACGGTATAAAAACCGATATAATTATGGATATAACTTAATTACCCAACTGTGCAGTGAGCAGCTGTCAATACCCATTTGCTGCTCAGGATGGAGCCACCACAGAAGTGTGAGTTGAAGAGGGTTCTCAGAGAGACCTGGTAAGGAATTCCTCCCTCTGGAGCATCTTCACCGCCGACTACGCGAGAGTCTTGATGTCTTATGTCGAATGTTGGAATGACAGATCCTGGATAAAATCGGAAAAATCAGAAACTCGAAGCATGTTGACGACGAAAATGAGAGAGAAAATAAATTTACATACTATCAAAACTTGCTTAGTTGTGTTATCCACAGAACAATAAATACAGTATAAGTGGTTAGTTAGCGTCTGACGCTCAGAAGACGGAGGGTCGTATTTTAGAACTCCACTCAATGCTCAAGTCAGGACTTAAGTATGATTCAAAGCACTAGAAATCATACTCAAGTCCTTGCCATTAGGGTCGTATTTCCAGTGCTTGAAATCATACTCAAGTCTGCTCAAATCCTGACTTGAGCATTGAGTAGAGTTCTGGAATACGTCCCTTAATCTCGAAAGACCTATCTGAGCTCAGTCCGCCATTTTCGCTTTGTATGGTATGGTTGCGTCATTCTTTCTTGCAAATTCTCTAAAATCCCAGAAAAATGCCTTATTGTGCTGTTTTGGAGTGCAAAAATGATAGCCTCACCAATTGTAACTGTAATATGGTGGCTTTTTGTTTGGAGGACTAAATTAATGCTCTAATTCGTCGTGGTTTAGCAATTAACCGCTAGATTGTAGCACATTGATAGAAATTTCAGTATAATGTCAAAACGTCGTAAATAATAATAATAGGTATTGATGGTAATGAACTTTCAACGATATGCCAACAGGGTAAAGTTTAATTTAATTTATTAATTTATTTTTATTTATTTTATTAAGTATATGTATTAACAATCCAGAATTTGTTATTTGTTTTTAAATTTGGAACTACGACCAATCAATATAAATATTGTAGTGTTTCAAATTAAAAATGTGTGAGTTTTGGCAACATCGGTTCTGAAAGTAATCCAGGCTTAAGATTGTTTTTTCCTCCGTCGTGTTATCAAACAAACCTTTCAAAGACGTATTATTGAATTGTATCTACAACATCACGAAAGTCCGCAATTTCACTGTTTGTGATAGTTTGGCGCGTATATGTAAATAAAAGGTTACTTAATAAGATTCGTGTATTTAGGTTACATTATTATACAGAATAAATTTATCTTTATCTTTATAGAAAGTATTTTGGTGGTACAAAAGACGCTAGAATATAATTATAATCATAATGTGTCAAACATCCATAACAATTAAAAAAGTAAGACACGTATTTACTCTATTAGGTATTTTGAAAATAACTGTAACAGTCAGCATGGTTCGGCCACAGAGGCAGTTTGTTTTTACAAATTTTTGCTAAGTAAAATTTGTAAGCCTTTTGCCTAAATATATTAAAAGTAATATAGCTTCTTTGAAAACCTCGGTAGCCCAACGGTTTGCATTGTGGGCACTGGATGTGGAGGTCCCGGCTTCGATTCCCGGTAGGACCAATTTAGGAAATGGACTTTTCTAAATTGGTTCTAGTCTGGATGTTCTGAGAAATGCCCCAGAGTGACTTCCTTTGCTCCGGTAGTACAGGAAATCCCTAAGTTTGAAACTAGGCAATTAGTCTGGTTATATGGAACATTATTATTATCTGAAACACATTTTTCTCTTCGTCCTGAACAATCACATTAAGCAAGTCAAATGATACTATTTAACATGGTAAGACAATGTATAATTTTGGATATTGTATGTCTTACGGATGGACGACACACATGTACACATTCACACATTCCACACAATTACACACTTACAGACACATATACACATACTTGCACTCACACACACTAACGCTTGTGTTAATCTATTTTTAATAATATAAGAGCAAGATTACTATTAATATTATAGAAGAGCGATGTTTCCTAACACAGGCCCTAGCAAGCCTAAAGGGAAACATCCGCCCCTGTACTATGCCCTTTAAAATGAACAAATAATTTAAGTATTAATAACTTCAATAATAATAAATAATACATTTTATTTTTAATTTATATTATTTTTATTTTATTATTTAAAATTACATAGAAATCACATAGAAGGTATTCATTCTAATACGGCGTAAGTAGGAGCAATCACCTATAGGGAGATGTATACACACACGTATTAAGTAGCAGTACAGGTCCTTGTTAAAGAGTTCGTCCAGGGAAGTACGGCCACGTTACCTATTTCTGCCGCCAAGCAGTAATGTAAGCATTACTGCGATCCGGTTTGGAAGGGTAATTGTGCTGGTGAAATTACAGGCACATGGGACTTGTCAACTTATGACTCAAGGCGACGGGCGAAGTGGCAGTGCCTAGATCTTTGCGATTTAAAGCTCTGAATGGCACTGCAACTGTTGTGGATAGGCGTGTCGCTTACCACAAGGCGCACGACTAGTTCGTCCTGTTTAGTATTATAAAAAAGTATTGCATTTACGTACGATATTAATAGTAATAACAAAATGTTTTGTACAAACTATAGGCCGTGTTGGCGTTTCGAAATGTCGACTAATAATAAATCTAGGAAGATTATTTGATTAATTTTGCTACATTTTCTTATAGGTACTTAAATTTTAGCTATGTTTAATAAAACAACAACAATGTTTTATTGATCGAATTAAAAAAAGGAGAAGGTTCTCAATTTCACTGTATTTTTTTGCGTGTATGATACGCGATTACACTCATTTGTGAACCGATTGCGATGTTTTGTTTTTCAGAGGTACCACAGTACCTTGGTAATAGTCTCATTCAAATTAGAAGAAAACATTTCAACTCTAAGGGTGGCAAATTAGTGAATGAATCCGGTTTAATAGACATCACCCATTTCAGTTAAATTGCCCAATAGATGTACTTCCACAAAGTTTTGAGGTCGGTTTTTTCTATAAAAAGCTATGTTGTTTTATTTGCACAGTCACTTACCATGAGCCTTAAGAACTAAAGTAAACACCGTAATTAAAACCAAAAACATTATTCCTTATTCAAAAGGCAGCAGTTTAGAAAAACAAAATAAGCCAAATAGCTGATTAAAACTATTGAAAACTGTTGCGCGTTTAGTTTATATACGAAATGTGATATCTGAAACTAAATATTTAATCCGAGAACAATAGGTAAGGGCCTTGTCTGAAGAGGAATTTGCTAATTCAATCAATAATTGATACTTAATCTCAATGATGCACTTCACTGGACAGTAACACTTTATGTAACAAAAACGTAGTACGGGCAAATACGCAATTCATGTTAGAGTCAAACGCGGTGAAAATGCAATGCAAACGTGACGCAATAGCAATGCTGCTAATTGTCTACTTACCTTTACCCGCTCACGCGATACATGCAGCCGTAGACGCATACCACACCTAGAGGTGCCGCATGCCGGTGCTGATTTTATACCGATTTATCGGATATCGAAGTTATAACAGGTAAAAGAACTAATACTAATTGCTATTTCGGTAACTACTCTAGCAAACCATAAAGTTTTTAATGTCTGGGTCTGTCATTTAAAAAAAATAAACAACTTCAAAAATACGTCACGACAATCGTGTGTGTTATTGTTTGGGCTGGTGATTTCGGTGTTTATTTATTGAAAATATACCGTAAGTAGCGTTTTTTAAGAGTACCCTGAATATAAATGTTTATAGACTATACTTTAAGGAGCAATTTCGTGGTAAACGTTAGAATCACTCAAACGGAATATTATCATATTTACCCAAGTACACCAAAAATTTCATTAGTGCTTTTTAACTGCAGGATTTGCGGTGTATTACTGCATTTTATTTGAGATGTTTTTATTGTAGTACGGAGGGTATTTATTTAGCAATGCAGAATAATAATTTTTATTTGTAAAAACTTGTATTTAAACTGAATCCTTTTCTAATTTGCGAAACCAAATAGCCGCCATTTTGCGGTAGGATGAGCGCATCGCGTGAGCGGTTACACACACGCGCGATTTTAAGCAGCGATGCAAGCGCGCGAATGCATCGATGTAAACGCGAGATTGCATGGCTACACTTGGGATTTATAGGCATTTGTATCGATGCAATCGCCTATGAATCGCAAGTGTAGCTGCTAAAAGTAGCCGTGTGTAATCACTCTTAGAGTGTAACTATGTGATAGTGGTGATTTGGTCTTTGTGACCTAAGATTGGACTTTGTAGCGAGCCTAGGAGACGCCTTCGTTCAGCTGGAATAGTGTAGGTTAAAGATAATAACCGGAGCGTGATTAGAGGTGTACGCAGTCTGAGTGATCGACTCTGAGATAGACATGGTGCTGATGCGTATTGTTGTTGGATGTGGCAGAAGCACGAAATGAGAGCTTTGAGAAATATAACTGGAGTGACTGTGATTGGCAAATTACGGAACAGTGTATCAAGAGAGCGTTGCGGTGTGGAAGAAGATGTAGCGAGAAAGATAGAAAAAGGGATGCTTAGATGATTAGAACATGGAAAGGTTGAATGAAAGTAGATTGACAAAACGGATTTATTAAAATAAAATAGTTTATTTGTCATGCAATACAACCTAAAAATTTAGTAGCAGTAGAGCTCCTTGTGAAAGAGTTCGTCCAGCACGGCTAGCACGATTGAGCGAGAGCGACATAAAGCGCGAGATACTGCTATTTCCGCATAGAAATCACAGCTTTATGTCGCTCTCGCGCAAGTCGCACCCTATTGTGCTAGCCCTACTGGGCAGTACTGCCAACTTGCCTATTTCTACCGCCAAGCGGTAATGCGAACATTACTGCCTTCCGGTTTTGAAGGATAAGGGTGCTGGTGAAATTACAGGCACATGGGACTTGTCAACTTATGCCTTGGGCGACGTACGCAGCGGGAGTGCCCCTCAGATCTTTGCGATTTAAAGTTCTAAGTGGCACAGCAACTGTTATGGACAGGCGTGTCGCTTAACACCAGGCGTACGACTTGTTCGCCCCGTCACTAGGTACTATAAAAAAAGAAAAGAATATGCTAATTAATAATAATAATAACCTAAAACACACGACAAATGGGTCTATGACTCAGCTACAGAGAACAATGAATTATATCGTCCTCCCTGATATTCTATGACATAATGGTCAGGAACACACATAAATATTTATAATTATAACAACATACAAGACACGAATCATAAG